CATTTCAACCCTTCCCTTGCCCCAAGGTCCTCCTCAAGATTTTCCTCTTTGACCGCAACTTTCCCCCCTCCTCTCCCATCCCTAGTTCAGGTACAAACCTTGGACTATCCAGACTTGGACTTGGGACGTCCTCCCGACGTGAAATGTATGTAAATATGTTGTTGTTTCCTACTCAAGCTGATGCCTTGAGTATGTGGTGAACTCAGAACTGAGAAAAAAATCTCACATCTTGGATTTGTACAATGTTGAGAGATTTGCTGATTCACAGAAAGCAGTTAGTAAGACAAATAAGATGCTGGCCTTTATGACAAGGGGTCCAGAATTCAAAGTAAAGAGATGCTGCTCCAGATGTTTTGGGTCAGCTGCATGTCTGATACACGCAGAAACCCGTAGCTATGTTTATGAGAATACAAACCAGACAAAGTTCCACACATGCATGTCACCTATGATGGAAATTGTAATGTCTCTGGAATGGGGTACAGACTCTCTCCATCTCAAGAGGGACGCAATCCATTTACTCAATTCCCCCCAAAAAAGTGCAGGTCAGCAGTTATATAAGAGTGCGTATCAGACCTAGTTTTGAGTACAGGTTCAGTTCTGGCACCCACTCTTAGGAATGATACATTAGCCTTGGAAGGGTGTCTAAGAGATTAGAACTGAAATCAGGAAGCATTTCTTCACACAAAGGGCTGTGAAGATACCGAATGCTCAGTACCGGAAATCTGCAGAGGCGGATTAAATGGAGATGTTTTTGAAGATAGAGAGATACCTAGGAAGTACAGATATTAAGAAGTATCGCAAAAGAATAGAGCATTGGTATTTTTAAAAATCCCAAGATCGAATAAACTGGTGGAACAGGCTTGATGGACTGAATGCCCTGTTTTCATTTTCCTAAGTTCCCAAATATGTTGGTAAGTAGTTTTCCAATGGCCTCTGGCATACACAGAAGATAGTGCAAAACGGAAAACTCAGATACAGTGCTGATAAACCTGGACATTTTCAATGTCTCTCTGCAATGTTGCATCAAAATATCATGATGATCTTTAATATATGTTATATTTTTTTTACTGCACAGGCATTTTAAGATGTCAAGGAAACAAAGCTCCGTTTAACCATTTGGTTGATCGCTGTCAGAGTCTGACTACCCAGGTTTTCAGAACAGAGGTCTGTAAGAACAGAGGCCTCCTCCAACCGCCTCAACTTTCTCCCTCTACTCTTTTTGCATGGAACCTATTCCTCCAACATTGTTGTAACTGTGGTAGAATGCTGCAAAATGAAACACATGCACCACTGGTCATGTAAGTCAGCAGAGGGGTCTTTGGATGCAACTGAAGAATCAATTGGAGAGTCTCCACAGGAGGGGAGGGTAATTACTATATTGAAGGTCTTTCCTATTAAGTGGCCCTTTTTTATATAATTGCACAATAGAGGGAGTTCTTTGCATTGAGATATCTCAGCTTTTCCTTTTCTTTTAATAGATCAGCTGATGCAGTTTGATTAACTTGGAGTTGAAACAACTTATCTAAGCACTAAATTGGTTACTGTTTTGAGCAAAGAACCCATGGAATGTGTTTCAAGTGTCATCTTGGGACTTATCAAAATAATAAACAAACTGTTCTTGTACCCTGTTATGCAATGAAGTACAGGATCTGTACAGCAGTTAAACTAGACGAATTCTGTGTCTAATAAGTGGCCTCTCCTAAAGATATGAAACCCATTCTAAACTGAAAGTACCTCAATCTACATCAGTTAATAGCACCAGTGAGTATCTTTATTCAGTGGGCACAGCAGGCACGGAAGCTGCCAGGTGGATCAGGGCGTGAGTCAGTTGACAGCCATTCGTATTAGGCAGTATGTGTTTCCCTTTCATTCCTGACCTGCAAGGAGCTTTCCCAGTGATTACAGAAGCCGGCAACCAGAACAAGAAACCACCACTCATGATTTGGAAACTCCATGCCTCAAATTCCCACATCCAGTTTTTAGATTGCTGCCACTGCTTTGGATTCCGCCCACAATGTAAATAAGACAGGATACTCGTAGCAGCAGCCTCAGGCTACCTCAAACTCAATTTAGCGCCAAATTACAAGCAATCTTGTTCTGTTAGTTTACATTTATCAGGAAACAATGTTGATACTGCTCCAAGCTGCTTTCTCATGGGACGCTTATGGCCAGAGTGAGGAGACAGTGATCCGTCAGCCCAGGTTGAAATCAAAGCTATGTCCCAGGAGTAAAAGTAAAGTATTCTAACCTGCTATGCCACCCGTGCCAGTAATGTATGAAAGCAATGATACACATGCCAGTAAAATAGTTTCTTGTACCTTTTCAGGAAAATCATAATGGTGCAAATAGAAGCAATACACTGTTAGTAAAATTCCAACAGAAAGTCTCAGGAATTTATTCTGTAACAATAAATGTTTGTGAATACGTTCAAGGCTCGAAGATACTCCTGGGGGTTGGGTTAATCGTTCAAGCTCGGCTCTCATAGACTCATGTCTTGTTAACCCCCAGAATGTGTAATGCGTTTTAAAGTATTATTTATTTTCTAAGTAATATACTCATGGGTATATGATGTTCTACATACACAATGCAACCATGTAATTACCAGCTTTATTAAAAACCTTTCCTAAATATTTATTTGGCTCATCACAGCCGATGCTGCTTTACTATCCGCACAGGAACTCAACAGTCAATAAGACAAACCCACCATTCCCAAACAGTACAGCACATACATTTTTAGGAATAATTGGGAGATGGAAACCCACAAAATACACAGTCAATTCACTTAACAGTATGTTCTGTGAAATGCTTCGAGACGTGATAAGACATGATAAGGCGCTATATCAAATGCAAGGATTATTTATTATTGTAACCCATTGAGAGATGGCCATAGTCTCAGATCTAATTTGCAGGTTAAGCCATTTACAGTGTAACAAAAAAGTCATGATACCATTCCAATGTCTAATAAGTCTTAAAGAAATGCTGATTTTTTTAGCTAATAAGGTAGCTTCACAACTTTTTGGTCACCTTGTGGAAGGTGAAAAGGTGAATGATGATTTCCTGCCTAGGGGAGAAGGCTGAGAGATGGCAGGTGGGTGGAAGAGGAATGTAGCAACAATAAAGTCTAAATCTTGAGAGCGAAATGGGAAAATAACAGCAATATTTAGCCGTATATATTGCAAGAATGAGACAGGAACCCTGTTATAACGTGTCCAATATTTTAGAACCCAAATTATAACCAAATGCAAGAAAATGGCTATGAACTTCACTTCCTACGTAGTAACGTAAAGGACATCCTCCCGACGTGAAAGGCACCATACAAATGTAATCATGTTGTTGTTGTAACGTCACTTCCTTCACAAAGTGACACCAGCAACAATTCCTGCATACAACGATGTAAGAAGTGACATCGGTGACACATTGGTGCAAAGCCCAAAGGGCATCACTGGTGACCTGACAACCTAGAAATCAGCTATTGTTAGCATGGGAAGCCGGCTTGTCAGTGCCAGAAGTTGGGTGTATGTACACTGGACACCCACAGTGGACCCATGCTATGTAAGCAAATCTACACTCAACTGGGGGGTGGGGGATGGGAGTTGTTGTAACACGATTGCCCTGTAAGCATCACCAAAGAGTGAACAAAATGCAGCTATGAACAATCATAAAAGAAATTAAATACTTTTAGTGTAATTTACTAAAGCTGCTGAGCAATTCAAAAAATACAGTGGAATAAATGGAAAACCAAAAAAATGCAAACCTCCTTCAAAAGGCTTTAAAAATAAATCTAGTTTTATTCATTCTTGCAATCCCTCATTGTTCAACTTCAGAGCTGCTGATGTCGAGTAAAAAGAATCAAGCGCCTACTGAGAACGAATTCACATACCTTAATTAAAACTATCTATAAACTATAATCTAATGTGGCAATGTTGAATTCAAGAGGCTTCTATTTAACAAGCTTTCAGCACAGTTCCCGCTTTAGCGTTCTAGCTTGGCTGGTGCTAAACCGATAATACAAAACACCATTTATGGTTCATTGTTGCCCCCCCCATAGAACCCTCATGAAAAAATGTCAGTAACACCCAGCAATAAATAGGGTGCTCAAAGCTCACATTCAAATGTCAGATATAGCCCATAATTTAAAAAAAAACACTGGGCATGTACACCGTAACACAAAGACACACTAGGTTCCTGGTCACTGATCATTCGAGTATTCCACATTCCAATGCCCTCCTTGCTGGTCTCCCCAACTCCACTATCCACAAACTCGAACAAATTCAAAACACTGCTGTCTGTATACTCACCCGCTCTAATCTCCGTACGACCATCACATTAGTCCTCGCCAGGCTCCACTGGCTCCCTATCGCAGAACAGATTGACTTCAAGTTCCTCACACCGGTCTACAAATCCCTTCACGCCCTGGCACTTCCCGATCATTCCAACCTGCTTACTCCCCACAACATCACCTACCGCCTCCTCTCCGCTGGCTCGGGATTCCTCCTTGTCCCTCATCCCCTCAGCTCCATCATTGATGGCTGTTTCAGCCACTACCCCCCAAAACTTTCGAACTCTCTCCCGCCGCCTTGCCCCTCCTTCCCTTTTTCCAGATCACATTTGAAGACCTTGATCTTCAACCATGCTTAGGTCCCTCCGGCTCAACGTCAAGCTCTGTCTCTGTTAAGCGCTCCAAAATGCTATCCCGGTGAAGAGTGCTAAATAAATGTAGGTTATTGTTTGGAGGCATTGACAAATTATTGACTTACCCAGGAAAAGAGAACCTTTGCAACTTAAGTGCAATGTTAATGAGGCTTTCTTCAATCCATACCTTTTTCAAATAGTACTTGCATTTGATCTCATTGATATTTGCTGTAGAATAGTATTGCTTGTCATGCACGTGTCACTGAGCACATTACAGTAAATTCGGTGAAGCGCTTTGAGACATCCTCCCGGCGTGAAAGGCGCGACAACAAATTCAAGGAGCATTTCGTATTTTATTAATGTTTTACCTTTTGTGCCGTGTTGATGCACTGACGATACTCTTTGGCTAAGAAAGAGCAGTTTAAAGTCAGCTGTGGATTTTGTTGATAACACCGAAGAATCTGGGACTGAAGATTTCTGCAGATGGGTTCACAGTTTCTCTTCCTGGAAGAATAAAGAAATACATTTGTTTATGTGTAGTTTTAAAACAAAATTGAACATATTTCCGACATGCATTAAGAAAGTCTTCACTGAAAAGATTTGTTCTGATTCATAATGATATTGAATCCACAGGCAGTACAGGGCGGATCACAAAGGAGCTCTGACATGCTGTGCCACAGAATGATAAGTCACAGGCCCGCATATATGATTCAATGCATAACAAGCTCAGAATCCAACCGGATTAGGCGCTTCCCCCGCGGAGAGAGGAGGGGAAAGAATCAGAGGATGCCCCTTGCCTCCCTCAACTCCAAGCAGCTTGTTAAAGCACAAGCAGATACACAGTAATTCACTCTCCTCTTTGCCTCTGGTGTTACAGTGTGGAGTGGGAGATTTTTTTTAAAAAAAGGAACATTTGTAAAACAACATTAAAAAACACAAGACCTCTGGATCTGCCATCTATTATATGAGGAGTATATAATTACACACACCACTTTAAAATCTCTCATTTCCACTGACAGTCTTGTGAGTGAAAACACCAGCCAATGCATAACCAAATGTGTTTGGTTTGATCTCTTGTTTGTCTGAAAGTAGCTAATCTGTTGGTGCAGCAATTGAGATGCTTTAACGGTCCATGTTGTACCACAAATAGCAACACCACCATAGGGGATAAACCCGGGCTCATGAAATAAAATCCATTTAATGGAAAGCTAACAGTTGAATCTTAATAAAGGCATTACTTGCAGAGAAATATTATTTTTCCGTCAACATTTTCAGAAAATACTGCATGCCTAAAATGAGCCAAATTGCAAATCTTTGTAACACAGTCAATTGAGTACCATTCTGAGGGAGCCCTGTCCTGCCAGACCAATGAGACCTTAAACCAAGGCTCTACATAATTGTCATTACACTTCATAGTAACTCACTATGGAAAGCACAGCGACTTTTGACGTGCGACATGTGATTTTGACTTAAGGTGTTATTTCATGCGTTCGGTTTGTATCTTTACTGGAATTTTGACTAATTTGCTAGTTCTATGATGGAATTCTAACTGTAAAACATTTCCCACTTTTTATATCTGAAAATTATTCTGTGGTGTTGCAACCCAAGGAGACCTGAAGGGTATTAAGCTTGGTAGATGAATTCAGCTGGCATCAGCTATCACCTCAATCAGCGAACATCTTCACTGACAAAAAGCTTTTAGATTCTGGATGTCAATTCAAGAGTTGTTCATTATTTCACAGCCCTGATCGGTCCTGGCAAGGAAACAGAGACCCACTTCCCAGTCAAATAAATAAGATGACTCATTTTTGATGATCTTATTTTGGGTCAACCAGAACATAAGAATTATATTCACCACATTTGTTCAAGAAAATAAGTATCAACTAAAGAACCTGGTACTATATCAAAATGTAAAGATTATTATTATAATAAGTATGGGGCCAGATGAAAAATCAATTCTAATGCCAACAACCTTTTTGGAGTGCAAAGTTCACCCTACTCCATTCAAAACCAAATTTTATTATGGCAAATGGTCCTCTTGTTTAACATTGTGAATCCTATAAAAACTCTTTGACATTATCACTTCTGACATCAAATGAGACATTATTGCCATTGTGTGTATGTTGTTACACAAGAACCTCAATGAACTAAAACTCATATGAACTTGGTGGGATTTTTTTCTTCCTGATTTTCTCCTTCGATTTTTCCCTCTTTTGCTGAAGGTGCTGACTGGGTTTTGGTCCTCACCAAAGCACCTATTGTTCATGTGCCAGCCACCGAGCCCAATCTTGCCCTCTACCTTTGTCTCCTCACAGCAGTCTTCAACAGGAGCCCTTGGCTCACAATCAAGAACAGAAATTGTTATCTAACCCAGACTCAACCGTAGCAACACTAATCCCTTCAGCATAATTCAACTCTAACCAGGATTCGATCTGTGCAGTTTAGTCCTGCAACTTCAAATAGAACATCGGGTGGGCTCTTGTTTATTATTTTTTTTAAAGAAGCCTTGGTTATAATTAGGCTCACAACAGAGCCAATTCTACAGGGACATATCATACACCTTCTTCAGAGAAAGCTTTGTTTAGCAGGAATGGAGAATTCTTGACTGACAAAGCCATGACCTTTCATTCTCAGGTCGGGGAGCCCAAAGCTCCCTGTTGTGTATTCTATTTGTGTACCATGTGCGAGGATGATTTAGTCGCAACTTTAAAAAAAAATCAAAACAATATTTTATTCATTACCAAGCTGGGAGAACCGTACTTACAGTAAGAAACAAATTCATCTGGAGATTAAATTGTGTTACCAAAATATTTTCTTATTTCCCCTCAACTGACTAATCGCTGCCCTGTATAACAAGTGACATATTACAAAAATGAACAATTACAAATGCACAAAAATAACTTCAGAAAGATTTAGAGTAGATCGATTTAGCAGGGAGCTAGCATGGCATACAGTCCAGTCCGAATGGCCTCCTTCTGTGCTCAGACTGTTGTTACTCTATAAATCATGGATAGGTATATCAGAGGCCCCTCTGAGAAGTGCGCGTGGTCATTCACTTTCTTGTTTTTAATTAATGGATCTGGTGGATGTTTTCAGAGGTGACATATCTTTGGCTGCATAACATTCATAATATTTCAAAGCAAATCTTTATATCATTTCAACATACAAGTGTTATTATCTTAAAATGTCCTTGAATCACCACATGAATGGCATTTACACTTTAATCTTAGTCGAAACAATAAATGCATTCAGAGACGCAACATATTTGGGATTCTGCACAACCTATCACTTCACTTATTTGGAGGAGTTGAAAGCTTAAATTAAGCACCTTGCAAATTCATAATGCCTAATGCGACAACAAAATGTTGGCATTGCATTAAAACCTACATGCAAAGCTGATGCAGCATAATACACTGTGGGTGTACAGCATGATGATTCCATTAATAAAGCAATACAAACGCTGATATTTTATATTGAAAAAATCTACAAAGACATCTGCACAAAGAGGCTAGTTCAATTCTTATATCCATGCAACAAACTTCTCTGTGGAAAAGTCCATCAGTTAAAGCAGTCTCACATTGTCATGTTCAATATGGTCTCTAATGAAGGACCACTCTCCATGAGGCAATCAATACCTACGATATGAACAAGATTATGAAAATCAAATGAAACAGACAAAACTAAAGAACATCATTTTTATTCAAAGTTCTTGAAAGGTTTTTGATTTGTACAATTTCTACAATTTTTTTCCCTGCTGGATGAAGAAATTAATCTTTTGACTCTTCCCTGAAGGTAACTTGTCCAACCATTGGGGATGGGGGGGGATGGAATGGTTGTGTAGAACACCAAATTATACTTGCATAGCGCCTTTCACATCGAGAGGACGTCCAATGCACTCTCAACCAATGTTTAAACACGAGTACTTATGGGGGGGGGGGGGGGGGGCAATGGACAGTGATTTGTAGCAGGAACCCATTCTGATATGTTTCCCCTCCTTGTCCCAGGAGCACGAAGAATAACTGTAGTCCCCAACACCAAACCTGGTTGAGATCAGTCAATGCAATGCAGTTGAAGATTCAACCCCCATCCAGTCTGCATGGCTTAGTGCTGCACTGCCTTAACCCACTGGGTTTTCAGCCACTGCACTCAAATCACTTTTAAAAATGGACACTGGTTTAACCAAACACTGAATGGACAACAAACAACAAAGCTTTCACTGAGCGACACAAAATAAAAATGTAATCCCCCAAGGAACTGCAGTTCTCTGAAAGCAATAACATGGTTTCAAATGTGGTGGTACAGTGCAGTGTTCATTTTAACCTCAGTGCTTCAATTCTACAAACCATTTACAGACAGAACATCAAATGATCATTTTTCAAAAAAATATTTTACTGACGGACAAAAGACACCATTTATAAAGATACTATTTACTTATAGCTCATTTCCTGGGGTAGTCTCTGTTATTCACAAAGATGTTTATTCCTGTTAACACCGTGCTTCGATATCAGATTTTAATTTTTACAACCCTCCAAAAAGCTCCGAAATCTAATTATTCTGAAAAATGAATGCAGTAGCCAAATTTTCTTTCTCCACAGATAAGAAACTCTGTTTTAATTTAAAATAAACTCTCCATTCATCAGAGAGAGGGTAGATAGCAGGAGCTTAATAACAGAAGCACAAGCAGAAAATTACATTCCATGGCTGTTCTGCGTTTGAGGAAAATTGAAGTCGAAGACTTTAATAAAAATATTAGGGCTAAGTTTATTAACTAATTTCAGCGTGGGTTTATATCAGTTACATGCCTCTCAGAACCTGATGTGTGCAGCAACAGTACAAGGTGACCTTGCACTTCTGGCAGGTATTGGGTATGTTTATTTTACATGATGTGAACGGGATGCCTCTGTCCTCTTCATTTACTGCTTTTGATGAATGTTTCTTTTCTACTGCCAGAACAGTTCATAGCTGGCAGCCCTGAACACACTGCTCAACACGGCACTGCAGTGCTCCACAGGAGATGGTTCACTGGGTAAAGAGACAGAAACTTCCTTCTAGAAGGTTGCACGGGCTGAATTTAAACAGAAAAGGAATATGGCTTTTCACTGCACATGCGCACTTACGTGCTTGCCTATTTGCTGAAGAATCCAGTGCCTTTTCCAAGGCAGCATTTTAAAAAAATTAAACATACCAAAAAAAAGCATACAGACATACACACACACATACAGGATCATACTCAAAATCAGATCTTACCCCTTCAGAGGCTGTTGTGGATTTCCAGCATTTTCTATTTTTCTTTTTATCTAAACACTGAACTTAATTCATATCAGTACTTTCACTATCTGCCATTACCCTCTTAGTCAGCGAATCTAGTTGTGCTCTGCTACTAAGACAGATAGAATTCAAATCTTGTTCTGAGAAGGAGTCCTATTTTTAAACTTCAAATTAATGCAATACGACAACAAACACTGAGAGATATATTCATACCTCTGGGGCTTCACACAGTCTAT